GTGAAATCCAAGAGGAGAATCGTCGTGTTGTTTATTGCAAGATTGGTCGAGAAGAAGCAGATTTACCCATTAAGAAGAGAAGCAAGTATAGACTTGAGCCGAACTGGACCAAAATTTGTATCAGAAATAAACCAAATTAAAAATTCAAAGACTGTGTGTATTACATATTGATGTGGAGAAATATGTTAAATAGGGTAATTCTTTCTACTCTCAAATACTCTAGAATGTGTTTCTTTGTTATTGTGTCCCATGTTTATTCGTATTTTGATTCCAATTAGAATCTCAGACTTTTTTTTTATATGTGGAGTTTTGTTTCTGAAGAACTGTCTTCTACCGACTTTTGAGTATTCGAAAGAGGAACATAAAAGAAGCAGTAGCATTCTATCAAAAAGGATTCAAATGAAGGCAAAAACAGAGATATTCTCTTCATGAAAACAAACCAGCTTTCTACTCTGAGCACTAACACAAATGGCAGGTAAAAATATAATTACTGATTTCTTCTGCTAAATAACCAATAGTTCACAACATCTCAGAAAGAAAAACTCAACTAATCAAAGAGACACCAAAAAGGAAGATTACATGCAATGAACCACCAAGAAGAGAAAAACCAAGATTCAGATTGCTCCAAAGTTTATATTATTGTAGGAAAGCTTGTGCATTTTACAAGAACAATCGTTATAAAACCGTTTTGTAAAGCCGTATATATATATAATATGGTTTCTGGTAAACTAATCAAAATCCTTCCTAATCAGGTGTGGCTTTTCCTCATCACTATCATTTCTTCATTTTCCTTTCATGGCATTCCTTCAAAGCTTGAACATCTTTTGAACAAAACAAGAAAAAAATACTATCAACATTTTGTCTGAATCTATGGAGTGGAGGAATAAAATTTCCATCTTTATCAACCCCATCAATTCTTTGTTCAATCACACAGTTCCTCAAACCAATCAACTACAAGTAATAAAAAAAAGCCCCAATTTGGCTCTAAACCCCTTAAATTGTTTCAGATTTAGAACAGAGTGAGAGAGTGACGTACGTTTCTGGCAAGATTTCCAGTCCCTATTGCTATCAACAAGACAATCCTGCGAAATCGGAGAACGAACAATAAATGGCCAAAATCAAAGGAGGAATTAAAAGAGTGAAGAATACATGATGATTTTGGGAGACGAAACCTGCAAAGACAAGTAGAGAGAAGAACACTCCTTGAGCTGTTTCACATTCCCTTCTTCTTCGTCTGCATCCATTTGATGATTCGGAGGTTGTTGCTTCTCGGATTCTGCTTTCTCCGTCGCTTTCTCCATTTTCACTG